TTTTCAACTGTTTAATATAGAGCTAAAGTGGGCTGAGTTATAATGTAATAGTGTTAACCTTGCCAGTCCTGTATGTACATAAGAAAGTGCTAAAAGAATTGAAGGTGCATTCAACACAGGGATTAACTGTAGCTAAAATGGTAGCTCAGCAGATCAGAGATCTTGCTCTCTTCTAGAGCAGCTAAATTTGGTAATTTGGTTCCCAGAACCTACATCAGACCCCTCACAGCTGCCTGTAACTCCAGCTTAGGACATCTGACAACCTCTTCTGGCCTCTGAAAGCAGGCACACACATTCACATAAATAAGTATAAACCTTTACAAAATGAAGAAACTGATTGATTGACTACATGTATGACAATGTGGGTAAGTTGAGTGGAGAAGAATAGAAGAGAATCCAAGTTGGAACATGGACATGAAAAAATTGTTTATGGCTGGGATAGGAAGAATTCTAAGACAGCTTACATACTTTTGGTCATGTCACATTACCCTTACACAGTCTTATGTGATGTCGAAAAAAAGATTATGGAGGTGCAATTAAAATTAGCACATGATCTTAAAATTGAAATCTTGTCTGCAGGATCTTGTCTGGGTGATCTCTAGCTAGTCTGATTTTTTTCATTTAACAACATTTGTATAAGATATTTTGATCATGTTTGCTCCTTTTCGATCCTTGCCTATCTCCCTACTTACCCATCTCACCTTAAGTTTTCTGTCTTTCTGATTCTTTGTGTGTGTGTATATGTGTGTGCACATGTGTGCATGTGTTCATGTATGCACATGTTTGTAAAAGCAATTTAATTTTTCTGATTAAAAATTGAAAAGAAATTTAAAGTATTTAAGATTTAGAAGTATTGATAATCCATAACTAAGGTGATTAAACATATAATGAGGTATCTGGAGTATTTCTAAGAGCGGAGATCGGCCTCCAACAAACAGTAAGCCAGTCTTAGAAACACACAGAGGTATGTTCTTCCAACAAGTTGAGTCAACTTAGAAGTCAATTCTTAATAGTCTCCTGGAGACGAACATTGAATATTTATCTTCAAAGACCATCAAAAATAATTTTGGGGTTCAAAAATATAATTAAAGTTGATATCAGGAATTAGAAACATAAAACGAAAACCTACAAACCACTAATAAGCTTGAGTTTCAACGTAGTCTCACAACTTCACAATTTTCCTAGCCATCTTGGTAGCATCTGGAGGTCATGTCTAGAAATAGACTACAAAAAAAGAGGCAAATTTGTTTTTGTCTTGTGGTGGACTTGTAATACAAACTCTATCTGTAACTTTCTGTGCTGGTCATACATTGATCTCAACAGGGTTACTGTAGTCCAAACAGTGACAAGGTATAAAACAGAATTTTGCACCAAGAAAAAGAGATTCTGTTGAATAACTCTCAAAGGTTACTTCTACCCTGAAGTTTTGTCAATGTAAATACCCATTGGAATTGTCCTGCCTTTCTCTTGAGCCCTGTTTTCACAGGGCCATGCATCTGGAGCCTCAGGAATTCAAAATTACCAGATCAGACGTTCAAATATATCAGAAATACAAGACTTATCATTATGATGTATGCCCAACAAGGACTTAATACATAGCTGTAATCATGTATGTCCATAAAGGGACAGCCTTCATTACTTTTGTTATCTTGATTTACAAAGCTTCATTTTTAAATGCATAAACTCTGATTTAATCCCCCCAAATCCATGCTTCCTCTCTCCTCATTGTATCAATGGTATTTGTAATTATTTAATTTTTCCACCAAAATAATCTGTTGTAATAGGAAATAAGAATGCAATACACTCACAGGGACAAAACACTTTTGTAAACTCCATGCTTAAAGAATGGTTGTTTTTACTTGTCAATATTTATAAATCTAAAATTATCATGTTATTATTAACATAATTATATATAATCAACATATTATTCAATAATGGTATTCAATAGCTTTATTTGATTATTATTTGTGATGCTGAGAACCAAACCCATGACCTCCCACTTGCTAGTCAAATGCTAAACCCTTGCACAAGCTTCTGCAATATTTTAAAGGCTGAATAATATTTTAATTTTTTTCTGTTAAATATAAGCATGTCTGGACAGGTATGATGCTCAGTGGGTAAAGCCACTTTCATCAAGACTGATGACCTAAGTTTGATACTCTGATGGAAGGAGAGAATTAACCTCTGCCAGGTTGCCCTTTGATTCTAGTAAGTGCAATAAATCAGCACAAACTATAATTAAAATGTATAACTTTTGAATAAATTATAAATACTTCTCACTGAGATAATCCTAACTTAGTGGAAAATATTTTATTTATTATTCACTCTATTGAAAATATTTGTTTACACTCAAATAATAAAAATTCATTTAGCTGAAGATATAGCTCAGCAATATGTTACTTGCTAGCCTTTGCAAGGCCTTGATTTCAATTCCCAGCATTATAAAACTTTTTATCAATGTTTATAGTTTTGTTTCAGAGTATTAATTGTATCTACCCATCACAATGGTAAAATATGATATAAAATTTCCAACAAGAAAAAAAATACAACAACTGCTACCTCAACAAGTTCACATCCAAATACTTATTCTAAATCAAAAGACTGATTTTGGCAACAGATTGTTTTCCTTAAGATAGTTGTCTCAGGTGTAACCTTGTGATATTGGCAGGGCTGTAAACTCTTGTGCTTTAGCTCCTTTCAGCTTCTCTATGGCATTTAGTGAATTTTCAAAGAAGTGACTTAAATTCTGGAAAGTACCCGAAAGGACACTGTAGAAAGTGATTATTCTTGA